CCTGGGTACTTCTAAGGGTCCAGATGAGGGATGGCAGGAAAGACAGGGATTCCTGGCTCTTCCATCAGTTCCCAAGGCTTTCTACATCAACATATGGGTGAGATTCTCATTCCCCCTGTTTACTCCTGGCAAACTACCTAGAGATCACAGTAAGTTACAGCTCAAACTCTTGATAAAATGAATAGTATAGGACAGAAAGAAGGTCAGTGATTTGGTTTCTTAGACATCTAGTAAAATAACAAAATGATATACTGAAGATAAAAGATAACAGAGCCTGTCACAGACCCAGGGCAGGTGCTACAGAAAAGTCTATTTTGGGAATTCTCAGATCTGGAAAAGAGATCAAACTAAAATTAATAGTTAAGTGATTAGTACATACTCCTTGGAAGATTATCAGCTATATTTGAATGTTTTAGAAATACTTTTCAGAATATTTTAAAATTTCAGCCTTAAGGAAAACCCTTTCCTATTAATCATTTGTTGAACACTATCATTTATTTCCATGTATTCAGTGCCATGGATCCCAGTTACTCCTTTGTCTTCTTAATTACATATAGTCCATGTAACCACAAAAACATAAATAAATAAAACCCACAAAGATGCCGTTATCCTTCAACATTTTCCCAATGTACAAATTCAACTTTTCATTAAGTCCCTGCAAATTTGTACACTGTAATGAATGAAATGTCCTTCTGTAAAAAGTACTGCAAATAAAGAAATGATTTTCACTATAATATACACACACAAAACCTGACAGAGTTAACAACTGATTAAAGATGCTTTTATTCACCTTAGGTACTAAATATTTAATATGCCTAGAGTAATAGTTATTTGAAAGGAATATACTCCTTGAATATAAGTAGAATGACTAAATAACTTTATAAATTCACTTATCTGTTTTGCTACCTACTCATTGATTAGAAATTTTATGTACCATGCAATAACTGGTGGGAAATATTAGATCCATGAATAATGGACACTGGCTATTTGGAGCAGTTCTCAGAGGTTGAAAACCTTTCCCAAAAATCGGTATTTGAAATCTGTTATTTTATGGAAAGCTAAAACTTCTATGCATTTTCACTATACCACAGGGAAGCTTGGAAGCAAGTTACTACAAGCACTCCAAGTAAATTAATTTTAAAGAGGGGGAGGCCTTATTTTCTAAGAATATCATCCTGAGAGTAAACTTTATAGGAAGAGAATGTCTGAGTTATCTGAAAACAGTAAGACCAAAAAGTTACTAATTTTTTTTATGGTCCATAAACAGCATAGCAAAGGTTCAAAAAGAGAAATGCAAGCAAAGACTGAAAAATTGAAAGCAAACAAACAGATTAAAACCCATAGACATACACAGATTAATGCAGTTATTCAACATTATATGCTTGCTGGCTTGGTATTATCTTTTAAAACAGAAACATAACCTCTCTGTATAAAACAACGAGGTTCTCAAGATAACATGAAAAATTCTAATCAAATTTCACTCTAGCGTTAGCAATCTGTTAAGAGTATTAGGCTTAAATAAATCTGATATGTTAAAATCAGGAACTAACACATGCTATTTCTCATAGCAGGCATTGTATAAATTATAAGCTCTTCCATGTTTCTGTTACTAGATTTTGTATACTTAAAAATAAGCAGCATTCTCCATTCACAGCACTTAAATGCAACTGTTTTTACATCTTTGAGAATTTATAATTCATCTTAATGAAATAAAAAAAAAAACAAAAGAATTTGCATTTGCTACTTACAAAGTAAAATTCTGAGTATTTCTGTGTTTATACCCATGGGTTTTGCCCTATAAGGTTTCTGATAGAAGCAACTTTATTATATTCTCTGTTGATTGTTACTAATGATTTTAGCTTAAAGATCATTAATTTTACCATTAACATCCTGCTCTATTCTCATTTGAGTTCTATTTATCTCAAAGGTAGACTTTATGTATTACCATTACAAAAAATAACTATTTGCATAATACTTTATGATTTTACATCTATTACAAACACATCACAGGGAGCCTGAGGATGCATTCAGCAGCTTGTCATTCACCACTTCAAGACCCTTCAGAACCAAACAAGGGGGAGGGTGACATTTCGCTAATGGCAGAAGTACAGAAATGAATATAAATAACAAACCTTGAAGTTTTAATAGTACAAAAGAAAAAATACAAACAGAAAGAGGAGGACCCATCAGCATAAACAATGGTTTTGATCTGTAAAGCTCCATGCCCTTTATTCAGAGCAAGGTGTTTTATGCATCTTGAGTTAATTGCAATCATTTAAATTATCTAAAACTCTGCTACAGAAATAAAGGGAATTCCTATCTTTTCACTGCACTTATACATTAATATCATGACAGCATTAAAGTTAATTGTTCCTATTTGAAGAATTCAGCTCTCCCTCAGCTTTGCGAAATAATCTGAATATCAATTCTTTATTATTCTAGCTTTAACCCAACAAATACACACACTAAGAATGTTTAAGGAAATAATGATGATATGCATTTGCTAACTATGTTGTTCTGTAATTTCTTCTCAGTAACAGAATTACAAAGAAAACTGTCCAAAGCTTCTATATTTTCTTCCATAACCATCATACCAGACAAAATGCTAAAATAGTGAATGCTCAGTTGTGTCACCTCTAGCCGAAATGTCTATAGCACTTGAAGCTTTTTGTAAACAATATGCTTGATAACTAAATACATATCCATTGAACCACCAAGGACATAATTTTTAAAAATGTAGTTTCAAATGCAGTGTAACACCAGCATCTTACACAAACACACACACACACAGACACACACACACACACAGAAATGTGCAGGAAAGGAAGAAGGCTGAGAGCAGAGGAGAAATGGAGCACGTTGTTGTTTTTCATTCATGCAGTATAGTGATGTCAGTGTCTGCAGCAGCAGTGGAAGCGGCAGAAGCCTTGACCAGGGTGGGCTAAATTTCACTAAAATCAGAATCTTGCAGAATTCAAAACAAACTGAATAGATAATCATCTGAAAAAATCCAATAAGCCCTTGGTATGGGTTTTAATGGCTAAGTAGAATAGATTAGTTGTATAGTTTTAATGCAGGGGAGAAGGAGGAGGGATAGAGAAGTAACCTAGGGGTAATGTAATCAGGGAACTGAGGGCTCAAGAGCCTGCATTTAAAATCACTTCAATGCAAGAAACTGACAAAACCACCTGGTGTTAAAAACAGCAGAAAAACATCTCCAACAGAGAAAGCCCTTCCATTCCCAACACAAGCTCTCTGATGCTGCAAATCTAATGCACAACCAGACTCAGAAAAGTGTTTTCATCATGATTGCGTTAAAATTGCATTAAACACGGATGTGCCATACTACAACAAAGAAGATAGTTTAAGCCTGATCACAAATTTCATTAAAACTACTTGATGATGGAGCATGTAATTTCTAAGCAATTAAGGCTTTTGAAGGATGCAGAAAAAACAAGTTGTACTATTATCTGCTGTAAGATGTTAGTGTTTATCAACAAAAGGGGAGGAGGTCCTACTTGGCCATTATATTGTTGTAGCAATTGCTGAAACTTCTCTTGCTGTGCCCACAAAAACATCCATCCACAATTTGCAAGGTTTATTTTATGCCTGATACTTTAGTCCCTACAAGAAAATCCCAAAACCCAATACATGCGCTATGGAAGCTAAATCACTGAAAAATTTATGTAACTGCTGCCTTTTTTTAATCTCTAATTTAATGTAGCTCAAGAAAACGTGCAAGGGAGTTGCATATGGCATTAATCTGTTAGAAAATGGTGGCCTTTTCTATAAAATACAGCCAAAGATGTGTGTGTTCAGTTGTGGTCATTATTAGGGCGATCACGTTGTTTTCATTCATTCATTCAGGATTTGCTGGAGGATGTCAGTTTCTGCAGCAGCTGGCTTGACCTGGGGGAGGAGTGGGGGAGCAAATTCCTCCCGGTGCATACAGATTACAGGATGTGATTCTTGGTGCTCAAGTACTCATCCCATCGCACTACATCCTACTCTCTGGTTCACTATCAAGTGGTCTAAAAACAAGTGCCTTTGCAACATGCCAATTACAGATATGAAATATTAAAACAAGACCACCAAAACGGCAGTCTTTCACAAGGTAGACAATCACTTTCACCAACTTTAACACCTTCATCAAGAAAACTCCATTTAAAAAATTCCACCTACCACACAAACACTGCACAGAGCTTGACAATGTTTCCCTTCCAAGCAGAGATTTTTCCACTTAGTATGATCTGTTCCCTCCACAATGCAGCAGCAGCAGAAGCAGCTGTAGCTGTAGCTGTAGCTCTAGGCTGATATCTAAAAAATATTAGGTACCTCACTCTCCCTTATGAGCTTTAAGTCCGTGTTTTGGCTTATCTTCCTTTTCTCCCCCAGGGCTCACCTAGATCATGCGCTGGGTCCCTAGACGTAAACAAAAACCAAACCAAAACAGAAAACATTCAGGGAAACCCACAGCATCCACCAGGTCACCATCACCTTTGACACCAACAAAAAAGAAACTTGAGATCCTTTAACAGCACAACCCAACTGCTAAGCGGACTTAAAAATGCGAGGAAAGAGTGAACACACTCCACAAATAGGTTTTCATAAATTAACCATGAAAATCTTGGGTTGGGCATACACTGCTTCTAGTGTAGTACCGCTCTGATGCATGACTATATAAAGTAGAGGAGAGAGGGAGACCAGGGAGGGGAGGGGGAAAAAAAAAAACCCACAACCAACCCTATGCACTTCAGTTGCACATTCAAAACTAACCCCTCTCCACCTCCAGCAGACACCCTCACATCCCACGGCACGCCATCAGCCCTCCAGAGAAGAAAGGGGACCGATCCGGGAGTTACAGGCACGTTAGCAACTTTGGAGGCAAGCACAAAGAGGCTGCGGATCACCACCACCACCTTATCCGCTGCTCCGAGTTTGTGTGCGTGCCCGAGTGCTTCGCCCCGCTCCTCCTCCCCCGGCCACCCACAGCACGCACACGAGTGAGCTCGGCAGCGCTTCCACTCAAAGACCTCTGCACGCCGGCGAGCGATGCCACATAAAACCCGAGGGGTCTGCAGGAGGGTCAGATCAAAGTTGCTTCTCAGTTCGCCGCTCCGAGCCCCGCAGCGACCGCAGCGGGCTGGGATTCCCAAAGCCACGTTCACACCTTCGATAGTGCACTAGCAAAGACAAGCCCGCAGAGGCTGGAGTTTCCACAGGGGGCACCGTCGGGGAGACGCAGCCCGGGAGGACGGGAGGGTTGGGCTCGCTACCTCTGCACACGGGCGAGCCGGGGCTCCGTCTCTCAGGTGAGCTGCTCCTCCGCTGGCTCTCAGGGGACCGTCTCGGGCGGCCCTTGGCCCGCGGCGCCTGCTCGGCCGGCTGCGGCGTCGGGCTGGGCGGGCTGGGGCCGCGGGCCGCGGCGGGCCCCGGGAGGCTGCCCAGCGAGGCGGCGGAGGCGGCGGCGGGCGGGCGCGTGGGACTGTGCTGGCTGCCCCGCAGCAGCTGGTAGGGCACCGTGGCGCGGATGGGCTGCAGCAGCCGGCCGCCTCCCGCAGCAGGGGCGCAGCCCACGCCTCCGCCGCCCGCACCGCTCCCGCTCCCGGCGGTGGCGGCGGCGGCGGCGGCGGGCGGGGAGCCCGCGGCGCTGCGCCGCATCCTCTGCGGCGGGGGATGAGGGGTCTGAGAGGAACTGGAGGAGGAGGCGGCAGTGGACATGGTGGCTCGGCGGGCCGACCCCGAGGCGCGCGAGCGTGTGGGAGCCGGCGCGATGGTGCGTGCGGGTGTGTAAGGGGGAGGGGCGGCGGCCGCGAGGGGGCGGAGCCTCCGGGCTCCCCCTTCCCAGCGCGCACCCCCGCCGCCGCGGCGAGGGGGGAGGGGAAGGCTGCGAAAACAAACGTCCAACGGCCCCAAACGCCCGGCCCGGCCCGGCGTGGCGGTCACGGCCGGGGCCGCGCGGGGCTCGGAGCCGCTGCCGCCGCGCCAGACATCGCGCTGACAGGGCGGCCGTCCGCTTCACGCAGCCCCGGGGGCGGCCCGCAGCCTTCTCCTCAGCCCTCGCGGGGCTGCACGCGCGGGAAAACCCGGCAGCTGAAGGGAGGGCCGGGACCCCGGCTCCTGGGACCCGGCTGTAGGGAAGGGGGCCTCGAGGTGCCGGGCGCTCCGCGGAGTCTCAGGCGCCGCCGTCACCACCGCCGCCTCCAGGCGCTCCTCACTCGGAATGGCAACTAATCCCCTTATCCGCACTCCGCCCCCGGCACCGCCCCCAGGCGCCCGGGACCCGGCAGCTGCCGCAGCGAGCACTCCTATTGGCTCTGCCGTGCTCCCTCAGAACCCCAGTGATTGGCCTTGGGATACGAGTGAAAGTGCGCCTTACCAATGACAGCATTGACTCCTGCTCTGGGGGCGGGGCGTGGGGGAGGGAGGGTGGGGAGGGGGCTGTACGCGGAGGAGGGGCGTTAAGAGTTGACAGCCTTTGAGGTGAGGGCGAGACTCGGAAAGTGGGTCCATGTGTGTCCTGCGCGTGCCCGGACGCCCATACACGTGCACACGCCCCGGGCCGTGTGTACCACTGAAGGCAGAGGACACTTAAGGCAAAGTTAGGTTGCAAGTACACCTGCATCCGCTGGGATGTTTTAGAGTTAGAAGCGTAAGCACGGATCCCTTCCCCTCTAATTTTAGTAATCTTGAGTTATCGTAGCTAGGAGCCATATTTGTGAGGGGAACTTCAGCTAATAGCAGTGTCTGGAAGCTGAACAAAGGGCGCCCATGCCTCTACAGACTATCCTAAAGTTTGTAGTTAGCCGTGAGAAGGCAAACTCTTCCAAGGCAGTAAGGCTGAATTGCAGAGGCCAACACGGATATGCACGCCTCTGCATCACCAGTTAGATGTATTAACGGAGGGCACCCCGCAGCCTTTCCCCAAGGGACCGACCTGGAGTAAATACCTGGCATAGCCTAACAATCCATGGTGGTGATTTTTTTTTTTTCATTCTGCAGTGAAACTGAGGGGATACACAGGTTTTAGATAACTATCAAAACCTTAAGTTTATCCCCACAAGAATCAGGAATTTAAACCTTAAGCAAGAAGGTTTAAGGATCTGTATCAGAGAGCTGCCATTCACTTCCACGAAGTTAATAAAAAGAGAAGCGGGATGGTCTAACTGGTGTCTGCCCACACTGACAAACTTCCTCTGATTTCATGGCATCACTTACAGGAGCCATCCCTCCGCTGCCTTGAGCTCACAGGCAAGAAGGCACACTAGGTTCTGCAAAGTTGGTGAGACCCAATAAACAAAATAAAACTTTACATGCAGTACTTCACCCTATGAAGACTGATGATAGTTCCTTCCTTTATCGCATATTGGAATAATAGGTCACATTGACTGAGCGTTCACCACCTGCCAGCAATTGTTCTAAGAACATTGTGTGTATTAACTCATACAGTCCTCAACTCACCCACAAGGTAGATACTACCATTATCCCCATTGTGTGCCTAGTTGAGGCACAAAGAAGCTAAATGCCTTTGCCTAAGAATGTAATTATCACTGACTTGCTCTGGAGTCAGCAAGCTCTCTGTTCACTACTCAAAGTTGTAGAGTGTTTACAGTAATCCAAAACTATCATCTGTGTGATAAGTTCTCATTAGTTCAAAAGACATTTTACAATTGAAGATAGCCCATCATTTCTTTTTACTTTTCAGAATAATATATTTTAATTATAAATAAAGTAAAATCTTTGCTCTTTGAAGTTTGATATAATTGACCCAATGTGTAATTTTTCGATCCAAGAATCAGAGATTCCTCATAATTAAGAAATTCCTCTGTCAGTAAAAGAAAAGGATAAATGGTTTATTTTTTTTTTAATTTTTTTATTTTTTTGACAGGCAGAGTGGACAGTGAGAGAGAGAGACAGAGAGAAAGGTCTTCCTTTGCCGTTGGTTCACCCTCCAATGGCCGCCGCGGCCGGCGCGCTGCGGCCGGCGCACCGCGCTGATCCGATGGCAGGAGCCAGGAGTCAGGTGCTTTTCCTGGTCTCCCATGGGGTGCAGGGCCCAAGCACCTGGGCCATCCTCCACTGCACTCCCTGGCCACAGCAGAGGGCTGGCCTGGAAGAGGGGCAACCGGGACAGAATCCGGCGCCCCGACCGGGACTAGAACCCGGTGTGCCGGCGCCGCTAGGCGGAGGATTAGCCTAGTGAGCCGCGGCGCCGGCCTAGAAAAGGATAAATGGTTTATTTCTAGTGACTGCAAGAAAAAAAAATTGGACAGGTTAAAAATAAGTAAGGTTTCAAAAGTGCTGGTTAATTTCTACATTGTGGATTTGATTACAGCATGTTTGCATTTTGTAAATATCATATCTGGTCACTCCTAAGTATGGAACAACCCCAACTCCTTAGATTATAATAATTCTAAATGTATGCTAAGCCACAGTCACAATGATCAATACTTCATTTGGATCTAAAACAACACCCAACCCTAGCCATATTTCAAAGACTTTCTGTGGTTGTTCAAATTTACCATAGTCAACTTAAATCACATATCTAAAGCAAATCTAAATGGCCCACACAGATAATTAGTATGATCTTAAAATACTATTTAGTTACTGGTAGTTTGGAGGTTCAATCACTTTCTTTTTCCTAAAAAAAAAAAAAAAAAAAACCTTTAGTCTCATAAGTACCGATCTTCATCCTTAAGGAATTCAGGCTTCAGACAAATCAAAAGTAGGCTCAAATAAGCTATACTTAATACCTTTTACTTAAAGTGTCCATTTTTTTAATTCCTGATAACATTTTATTCCTATTTAGGATGGTGGTAGGCTCCGAGGATATGCAGAAGCTTTGGTGAAACACTCTACACCCCTCTGGGCTACTGTGCTAGCTACGGATACATAGACCCAATGCAGAATTTCTCTACTTTGTTGACCGTACATGTAACAATCCTAAAAAAGCCTATACAAGGCTTGATATTAGTAATGATCTCTTTACCATGTTTTCCTGATAGAAGAAGACAAACCTGAAATCACTATTAGTTGGCATAGGATATACCTCTGTTCAGTAGCCCCAGGCAGGCCTTGGCTATCTGTGGGGTAAGAATCACCACCAGCTAATCAGAGACAGGATTCTGTTACACTTACTTCTTAGTTCAAATATCTAATGGGCCATATTTTGGGTTAAACTAAAACTTAGAATCATTAGGTACATTTGATTAACATGAAGCCCCATGTGGAGAAATTATGGAGCCTAGAGATAAGAAATTATGGAGCCTAAAGAGCTACCAAAACATTTCTCTTCCAGTTCCAGCCAGGTTTGCCAGGTCTGAATATCCAGGGCCCATCCAAATCTGAGCTGCAGTCCAGGCTGTCAGCATTAGCGATGAGGTCATAGCTGGGAGAGAACATGAAGCAGATCTGCACTGAGGTTCATCTTAAGCTGATTAAGTTCTCTGATAGGTGGATTCCTAATAGCAATAACCACCACCACAACAACGTCTTGAATGAATAGTCCCTGCCAGATGCTTAAAGCCAAACTCTTTACTGCTGATGACAGCCTGTGTGCATCGTGTACAAGGTGTTCCCTCTGCCTGAAAAGTTCTTGCCCTCGGTATCCATGTGGCTCCCTCGTTTCTATCACATATTTATTCAGATATTATCAACTCCATGATGAACTTTTTTTTTTTTTAAGATTTATCTATTTATTTGGGAGGCAGAGTTACAGAGAGGCAGAGGCAGAGGCAGAGGCAGAGAGAGGTCTTCCATCTGCTGGCTCACTCCCAAATGGTCACAATGGCCAGAGCTGGGCTGATCCAAAGCCAGGAGCCAGGAGCTTCTTTCAGGACTCCCACACTGGTACAGGGGCCCAAGGTCCTGGGTGATCCTACACTACTTTCCTAGGCTACAGCAGAGAGCTAGATTGGAAGTGGAGCAGCCAGAACCTATTCACAAATCGGATGCCGGTGCTGCCTTACCCACTATGCCACAGGGTGGGCCCCATGGCCCTTCTTAAAACTGCAAGTAACCCCTAGCATTTCTTTACTCTCTATGTCACTTTATTTTTCTCCTATCACCATCCAATTTATGCTATATAATAATTTTTGTTGGGTCTAGGATATAAGAGCTATGAAATTACTGATATATCTCATGACAAACAATATTTGTTCAATGGTGTTGAAGGAATAGCAAAGTTTAGCCAAGGCTTGTCTTATGAACTAAAATTTGTACCTTTCATCAGAAAAAACAGTAGTATAAGAACAGGTGTATCTCTGCCGCAGAATCATAACCACAGAGTAGAAAAATATTCTATGTGGTTACTGTAAACCATAAAGATGTGTGCATCGGAGCTGGCATTCAAAAAGGAAGAATAACTTGTAGTATGGTCCTTGTACCCTTGTACGGGAGAAGTGAAAAATAATAGTCTTGGCGGTTCTTGGTGGTGCTCATTAGAGGTTGAAAATGGAAAATGAATTGGTAATGGAGAAAAGGCAGTTGAAATTTACAGAAAAAAAGGCCTAAAGTTGACAGAGAAGGACAGTTAGGGAGTGACACCTGCCAATTGGTAGCTTGTCCTGTCTCACTGTTGCATCCAGCCAGCTATTCTCAAGAGGACTGTCTAAAGGAATTGAAAAATAAGCTCATTTGATTCGGTAGAAAAAGCCATCATATATAAATAATGAGAACTGTGCTTTGTTGCTAAAAGAAGTTCAGAAGAAGCAATAGAAATAGGAGACATTTTATTTTTAACTGGTAAGGTCATCAAAAGAGTAAGTATACAGCTGTTCTACGAGAATAGAAAACCATGATGAGGACCACTGGTTTTTCAGTTTCCTTATTCTCCACAACAACTCTGGTTGCCAACCATGATGCTGGTTGTACATGCTCTAAGCTGATACATCAGTGGACTTTTGTAGTGAACTAAAAGACTATCTTGTGGAAAACCAGCACACTCCCAGGTTAAGACCTGGGGACTAAAAAAAAAAAATGTAAATATTCAAAGCCTTTTCATGCTGTGACATTCCATTTGTTTTAGTGCCAAACATAATGTTCACACTATATGAAGAAGGGAATATGTTTGATTATAGTCATCTTATTTTTTAAACGAAAGTATAAAATGATAGAAATGTGTCTAAAGTTAATTTATTCCTATGTGGCTTAATCCTGTTTAATTACATGAGTAAGTGTGTTGATGAACTGTTGGGGTACAAGTTCATCAGCAGTACTTGACTAGACAAGTTTCTTTGTATTATTTTCAACTTTCTGTAGCTCACAATTTTCAGAGCCATACTCAGTCTCTTATTGAAAAGGTTCATATTAATGCATGTAATGAGCCTAGATGAGGGTATAGTAGCAACAATACTAGCATCAAGCCATAGTTTACTGCTCATCAAATTACTTATTAAATGTCTTCAAAGTGTCAGATACCATCCTACACTTTGTAAGGCATACTTGTTATCGCCCTTTGGTTAAAAAAAATGTAAAAAGATATGCCTGCAAATAAAGCATTAAACCATGTCTAAATGTGCATATTCCATACAGCATAAAAGAGATGCTAATAAAGTATTACAGAAATGATGGGAGGGAAGGCTCCCTTTTGAGAACTGGTTCCAGGAAGAAAAGATCTGCGAGGGGACAACTGAAGAGTCTGCTGTGGCTGATAGTCCTGGTCTGTTGCTAACAGGTCAAGGAGGGTCTTGGTTGCCAGACAGGATTGTCCTTTGTTAAGTGTACCAGTCAAGAGCTGTTGAAGGTTCTTGAACAGGTTGTGGGGAGGGACATGAGTGGAGCTGTGCATTATGAAGATTAATACAAGAAGCATAAACACCATGGGTAGAAGGCTGAAAAGTGGAAGATAATTGAGGAGGCTTTGAGAACAGTCCACATGAGCTTCAGTAACATGAATTTGAGGAGAGAACAAGGGGCATGACAGAAAGGAAAGGGTGTAAATGGCACTCCTTCTGAGCTGATGGTTATATGCGCCTTCCAAGTGGAGGTCAGATGATTTGGAAATTTCCATCTTGGATGCCTGAGAAGACAATCATGGCTTCAACAAGAACAGGACAGCCAAGAGGAAGATTAGGTTTGGGCAAAAATGCTAAGTTCAGATGGATATGAAAGAACCAGAGGATATTCAAGTACAGGCAATTTTCAAAAGATAGTAAAGTTGAGAAAAGAGAGACAGGTTTGAGGGTTATCCATGAACATATGGTAGTTGAAGCCATGGGTACATATGAGGCTGGCAAAGGAAAAAAGCATAGAAATAAAGAGAGCCAAGGACAAAATTTTGGAAAATTATATATGAGTAGGGGAGGGAAGAGTCAAAATACATGAAAAAAAAAAAGGCAAAATAAAAGTAGAAAAGAAGGCAGAAGAGAGAGAGTTCAGGATCTCAAATGATAAGTTTGGTCGATGCTTTCTGGGGTATCAAGCAAGCCAAGGTCCCACGTCTCTGAGAACTAATCCTCCTCAGGGTAGCTATAGTTGTACAAATTATTCTTGTTCCTCTGACCAATGGTTGATTTGACCCGGGTTTGTCAATTTACTCAAGTTGACCAATCAAATTTTCTCCCCTGTGAATTTGGAATTAAGACATACCATGTTATTCTATGAAGGGCCTGAACTAAGTGAACTCAAGTCTGGGGTGGTCACCATCAGTCAAGACAGAGAAGCAGAAGAAACTTGCCTTCTGAGATAAAAGAATGAATTGAGTTGCAAAAAGGAAAAATGAGACCAGGCGACCAGAAAGAAGGAGAGAAGCCTGACAGTAAGTTCATTTTCACATGATGACCGTTTTATGTCTTATCCATTGTCCTCTATCCTCCAAAACCACCCCCAGTCTTGTCCCACACCTAGTGATACTACAGCAATATATTCCCACCATCTGATCTGTGAATCTTCCAGAATTTGGCTCCAGTTCTCCTTTTTTATACAAGTGATAAGTATTCTCATCAAAAGCCAGCCACTCTATTGTGGTTTAAATTCCTTCCCTAATTACCTTCTATGGAAGTTCATTTCTTTAAGCATTCCTTTCCCCTTCTTAGTCATCAAATTCCCAATTATTTCCAATAATGTATGAAAATTCTCCCATGCAAAGTTTTTAAAAAATGAAGATTCTTATGCCACCTCTATCTGCAGTCTGAATAAACTGACCCATCACACCAAAACTTCTTGAGAAAAACATGTTACGTCTGATTCCCTCTTCAACCTACTCAAATGTAGCTTCCACCCATACCCTGCTACAGAAAAGTGATAATCAATGTCAACAGCCTTTATATTGCTAGGTCAAGTGGATATCCCTAGGACCTCATCCTAATCCAATTTTTAGCAGTTTTCCACACAACTGGCCAGGCTCAACCTCTTAAGAAAAAATCTCTTTTATTAGAGTTAGAGCATTGCACCTGCCTGTTCTCCACTTCTATATCCACTGGTACTCATGTCTGTAAGGGGCTCTTCTTCCTCCAGTCCCCTCTGATAATTGGTTTCTGTTCTCTGCTTTCTCCTCTATACACTCATCTTCTTAGTAATCTTGGCCATTGTTGTGGCTTTTCAATTAACCTCTCCAGTCTGACATTTCCTCCAAATTCTGCATTCACATATCCAGCTGCCAACTGGACAAGCCAAGTCTCCATGAATATCTAAAATGAATGCATTCAAAATGGAACTAAACCCTAATGTCTGTTTTCCCACTTTCTTGCCCACCCCTAAATTCTTTCTTGATTTTCTCTCATTTCAATAAATGGCATCACCATCTATCCAATTATTCCAAATGAGAAACCCGGGCAATATACTTGATTTGTCAGTCCCCTTCCTTCCCTACCTCCAACCCACAAGCTCATCCTCTCATTTGTTCCTCAAAAAATACTTGTACATATCTAACCCACCCCCTTTTCCCCATTTCTTCTGCTACTACATTGATCCAAACTTCTGCCATCTGTTACCCAAACTATTGCTATGGCTGCCCAACTGCTCTCCCAGCTTCTACTCTTGCCTCTTTGATTTAGATTCTATTTATCCATCAGGGTGAACTTGGAAATATATTGGGCCATGTTGCTTCCTGCTAAAACTGTTCAATGTCTCCCAGTTACTTTACCCTGAAATCCAAATTCCTTAAAATAGCTTAAAAGGCTTGGCCAGCTCTGACTTCTACCTCCCTCTCCAACTGGTCTTGCTGTGTGTTTCCCCTCACCCTTCCAGTTCAAGCCACAATAGCCTCCTTTCACTTCCCCTGAAACATCACTGAAGACCTTCACACAGGTGCATCCTCAGAACAAAACACCCTTCCCTCTCTATTCCTCAAGTCCCCTGCATGGTTCCCTTACATTTTTCAGGTCTCAGAGTGTCGCTCATCAATAATAACCTATGATAACCTAGCATTAGGTAAGTTTATCTGTAATGCTCATTAAAAATTACAAATATACATCAATTTACTCCCCCACCAGAGTATAAAGTCTCTAAGGACAGGGATCTTGTCATTTATGTTCATTACTTGAACAGGTAACACCCAAATTTCTAGAATACAGTACGTGCTCAGTAATTTGTACAATTTACTGGTGACTTGCTAGTTCCTTATTCCAATCCTTGCACAGCCCTCCTTTACTTTCTGTGGGAGAGTTTCCTGGAATCTTATATTAAAACCCTCCTTGTTGTTTCTATTATTTGGGCAGGTTTCTGTTCTTAAACCAAATGATCACTAATTGATGGAGTTTAAAAAGGATGAAGTAGTCAGCAATGCCATATGTTGTTGAATGAGCAAGAGAGTTAAGAGCTAAGCCAAATTCACTGGACCTCATCACTGGTAATCTTCAAGGGAAAAAGGTATTCTTTAGGGTCCATAAAATATGGCCCCGTGGAAGACAGTGAGTTTGTGTGAAGGGTGAGAAGGTGGATGCAACACTTTAGAATACCTTTTTGATAAGTCTAAAATAAAAATATGGCATGAAATGGGATCTTGCGGTTCAGCAAAGAAAGCACATGTTGATTTAGTTTAAAAGAATAGGGAAGGAATGCCTATTTTTTTTTAATTTATTTGACAGATAGAGTTAGACAGTGAGAGAGAGAGACAGAGAGAAAGGTCTTCCTTTTGTTGGTTCACCCCCCAAATGGCTGCTACAGTCGGCACTGCACTGATCCAAAGCAAGGAGCCAGGTGCCTCTCCCGGTCTCCCATGTGGGTGCAGGGCCCAAGCACTTGGGCCACCCTCCACTGCCCTCCTGGGCCACAGCAGAAAGCTGGACTGGAAGAAGAGCAACCGGGACTAGAACCGGCACCCATATGAGATGCTAGCGCGGCAGGCGGAGGATTAACCAAGTGAGCCATGGCACCAGCCCCAGGAATGCCTATTAATATGCCAATATGCTAAAGGAGCCAAAAGAGAGAAAAAAAGAAGCAAGGTTTGAGGAGAACTTCCATGAGGCAGTAGAGGATTTGATCCCAAGCACAAAAAGGGACAATGTTTTCCCCTTTGCTACAGGAAGGGCAATAAGAAGCCAAAGGCAAAGGCAGAATTTCAAGTCCAGCAAAGGGAGGTTGAATGTGGCCGCTTCAGGAAGTCAACCTGTTGTCACAAGAAGGATCAGAATGTCCTGAAAGGCTTTTCTGAACCACACCTGCACTCCTGTCCACCCCTCACTTCCCTGCCCTAGAGTAGAGTTGCTGTCCACCACCACTATGGCTCAGGCTATGCAAGTGTGACGGCACAGTGCTGGATTGTGAGCAGATCTTAGTTGGGTGGAGGGAAGCAGAACATAAGTTGCAGTCACAGAGAATTTAGCCCAGTGTAGCCAGGTGCTGGTAAGAAGGGTAGGATTGTAAACTTTTTAGTTCACCAGGAGAACTTTATGATCAAGCAAATTTGGAATAAAAGTGGATTAAAAATAAAAGTTCACCAAGCACAACTGCAGGCCCAAAATATTTTCTGTTATCAACCATATATAATGAAACATTGATAATGACATTAATTCATGGAAATTACCCAAAGAAAACAGTTTTCAAAGTTCTACTTAGATTACCACAAAAGAATCAAAAGAGTCTATTCATTTTACATAATTAGTATCTAATTCTATGGTTCGCCATAATGTACAGTGGTATTTAAAATACAGTCTGTCCCCACAGATTTAACCAAACACAGATTTAATACATTTGAAAAAAAAAAAAAAAGGCCGGCGCCGAGGCTCACTAGGCTAATTTTCCGCCTGCGGCACCAGCACACCAGGTTCTAGTCCCAGTTGGGGTGCTGGATTCTGTCCCGGTTGCCCCTCTTCCAGTCCAGCTCTCTGCTGTGGCCCGGGAGTGCAGTGGAGGATGGCCCAAGTACTTGGGCCCTGCACCCGCATGGGAGACCAGGAGGAAGCACCTGGCTCCTGGCTTCGGATCGGCGCAGCACACTGGCCATGGCAGCCATTTTGGGGTGAACCAATGGAAGGAAGACCTTTCTCTCTGTCTCTCTCTCTCTCACTAACTCTGCCTGTAAAAAAAAAAAAAAAAGGAAAGAAAGAAAGAAAAAGAAAAAAAAGTGTCTGTCTGTACCCATTATGCACACTTTCCACACTCTGCCCCATCATGATTTCCTATAATATAGTGTAACAGCTATGTCCACAGAACTTATGTAGAATTAGGTATTATATGTCCTGTAGAGATGATTTAAAGCATACAGGAGAGGGGGGGCATTTGGCACAGCAATAGGGACACTCACTTGGGGCACTCACATTCCCCTATCAGAGTGCCCGAGTTCAAGTCTCCACTCTGCTTCCAAACCAACTTTAATGTGCACGCTGGGAGGCAGCAGATGATGGCTCAGGTGACTGGGTGTCTGCCAGCCACAAGAAAACCCAGATTGAGTTCCAGGCTTTTGGCTTCAGCCTGCCCCAGTTCCAGCTTTTGAGGAGTAAACCAGTGGATGGTAAATCTCTTTCTATGTCTCTCTTTCCCTCTCTCTACCTTTTTAATAAATAGATATAAACATGCAGGAGGATATGCATATGTTATATGTCCATGACATATGTATATATACAGGAATTGAACACCCCAGATTTTGGTATCCTGAGGGTCCTGGAATCAGCCCCTCATGGATACTGAGGGGTGACTATATAAGACTATATTACGGATATTTCTTTATCTTAGAGAATTTCATTGAGGAAAAGCTAAATGGCCCTGGCAGGATAACAGTTATTATTTATAATGTAATGATAAGTGAAATATTTTAAAGCCTCTTCTGCTTCTGGTTTGTTTAGCTACCAGATTAATAAACTTTTAGAGACAGTGAAATCTAAGAATGTAACTTGATCTTATCCATTCCTGACATTCTTAAATGAAATCTTTAACACACTGGCAGAAGAGCTATTGAGAGTAGACTCAGGTCCATGAAAAATATTTTCTTCATCTCCCTAGAAAATAATGATTTGTATTGCTATACAATGGTCACGACCTTGACTGCTCTCTGGAATCACAGAGCCCCACTAATTTATACCAGTTTTCCTCCATTCTATTCAGCCCTGACCATCAGGTATAAATTAGTGCTAAATCAATATTAGCTGATACTTCCCCAGGTGTGGGAAATGAGGAAACCTGACCACACAAGCAAACAAAGTCTTTCCTAGCTACATTTAAAATAAGGTGGTTATTATTATACTGCATGGGGACAGGCTTCTTTCTTTTTAATAAACCTTATGCCACCTTAGTTTGAATTAACTTGATATTTTAATATCAGCAGTCCAGCAGAATTACTGTTCAGTTAGTATGGATTCCCTACCATCTTTTACACTTTTC